AGCAAACCAATATTTTTCTCGATTTTACATATCATAACAATATATATATATATATATATATATATATATATATATATATATATATAAAAGTATGCTGGAAATATCGGGTATGTGGTCTATATTAAATAAAAATTTTTGTTTTTTCTCAAGCTCAATATTTCGCATTTATTTTATGGATTCATCGGGAGTAACTGTAAAAAACAAACATTTCAAAACACTAACGTACACTTAGATTTACAATACTTACAGAAATTAAAAGATTTCACACGTAAATAAAATTGACATTAAAATAACTTTATTGCTGATGTATATGTAAATCCAATAAAATGCATGTTAAAATTTAAATGTCTTTGATCACGTTCGTTAACAATAAATAAGATGGAAACAACTAAAAGCTATTTAAAATGCAAAAACTAACAATGTAAGAAAACATTAGAGGAATATTATTTCTTTAATTAATCATTAATGCTAGTTAGTATGATTAATCATTAAGGTGAGTGTAGTTTTAAATTTTGTTCAATATATTGCAATATAATGTTGCGTGTGTTGACCACACACAACCAAAATTTTCATAATAATGAGATTAGACAATTGACATTGACACACAACACATCAATGTTACCATCTAAAATAACTTATGGTTGCCTACCCTACATTTCAGTTCTGACACATAAACTAATGAACATCTTTAAAAATGTTAGTGGCTTAAAAATTACAACCAAAAATGTGAAAACGATATCGAAACAAAATCGAAACGATATCACAAAAACAAAATATCCTTTCACAATACAGGATTCATCGAATTTTGTTTATTCTATACCGTGTACCAATTGTAATAAGATTTACATAGGAGAATCATCTCGTAATTTTCATAGCAGGGTTATCTCACATCGTAATGATATAAAACCAAAAAAATCAATGCATGTGCATTGACAGAACATGCATTAACTTTGAAACATGAATTTAATTTTGAGGATTCCTGTATTTTGGCAAAGGAAAAGAACCATTACAAACGTGTTTTTTGTAAATGTATTTTTTACAAACGTGTTTTTTGTAAATCTAGTACATCTTGCATCAATAAAAAGTCTGACATAGATAAACTGAGCAACATTTATTGTTATTTACTGAAAAAACATCAAAAATCAAATAAATATTCACCTATACATAAATTACACCTGTATGTATAATATGTTACATACCAGTAAGTTACATAACTTACTGGTGAGACAGGTTTAAAAATTAAAAAGTATAATCACCCGAGATAGGCCTCTAGTATTTCTTGAAAAGAAAGATAATATCAGGTACACTTAATTACATTTTAATTACAGGATTTTTACTTTCTGTTCTCTATGCATACGAGTTAAAACAAACCAGTAAAAGATGTTATAAACTAAGTTTTACTATCTTTACCCATATTTTAAAAATTTTAGAATGTATTTTGTCCATGATTTTATATTTTACTGTGTGTTATCAATGTTGAGTAACAATGCTTTTATAAATAATCTCAACGACTAGTAAGTTACACTGAAAAATTGTTATATTTTTTAAATATTTACATATTTGTCCTATTGTCTGCCCAGAGAAATTCCTATTAGTAAGGGCCTAAAGCAAGGCTGCTGCATAGCACCTACACTCTTCAAAATATATCTAAATGAGTCACTCTCACTGTGGAGAAGAAAGTGCTGCAATATGGACATCCCAATCGGAGATGATAGATTGTACATGATACACTTCGCTGACGACCAAGCCATTCTAGCTGAAGACGAGAGTGATGTAGGCTACATGCTTAAAAAACTGGAAGATGAGTACACCAAATGGAGCCTCACAATTAATATACAAAAAATTGAGTACTTAGTTATAGGAGAAAATCCAGAAAGCCTACAAATCGAAAATGGGAACTATAAAACCAACAGACAATTTTAAACACTTGGGAGTTCAAATAACATCAAAAGCAGGAAGTAGCGAAGAAATATATTCCAGGATTGGCCAAGCAAGATCAGCCACCAGACAGCTACACGGTATATTATGGAATAAAAAAATAACAAAAGAAAATAAAAGAAGAATTTATAAAACAATAATAGAAAGTATTGGACTATACGGCGCCGAACTCTGGGAAATAAACCAAAGAAACCAATCAAAAATTAAGGCCATGGAAATGAACCCCTGGAGACGATGTTGCCAGCTCACTAGACTTGATAGGGTGAGAAACGAAGATATTCGGAGAGAAATGGAAATCGATCTAGACATAGACAAAATCGAAGCCACAAGACTTAACTGGTATGGACACCTTCAGAGAATGCCGAAAAATAGATGGTCAAAAAAATAGAAGAATGGACTCCGTCAACTAGAAGAAAACGAGGTAGACCAAGACGATGTCTTGAAGAGACGATGTCGACGATGCAATGACCGCCAGAGATCTAACAACTGAAGATTGCTTCAACAGAAAACGCTGGAAATTAGGATGCGAGAAAAGGCGCCAGCTGTAGAAGACTCGCTTGTTATATATTATATCTATATACATATTTGTCTTATTACAACAGTGTCTTGAAAAAGGAATAAAACCATTCCGAAAGCTAGACAAAAAGTCAAAAGAGTGTTTTTTTAACATCCCGGCCAATTTTCTGACTGCAACCCTAATAAACTGCGTTGTTTGTTTATATCGACAGTCACTAATATCCAGTATTTCTTAACTTCTATATATATATATATATATATATATATATATATATATATATATATATATATATATATATATATATATATATATATACAAGGTGATCCTTAAGTAATTGTACAAAAAGAAACCGTAGATTATACACTTTAAAATATTATTATTTAAGCCAAATTGCTTTAATACAATGTTGATATTAAAAAAGATACAGGGTGTTAAAGTGGAAATTTAATTTTCGCTATAACTTTCATGTTTGTGGACATTTATGTATCAAAATTTATAACTGGGTACTATTAAACATCAGGAATTATAATTATAAAAAAACGTAAAATATTTGATGTAAAATCCAATATTATTCTGTTATTTTGTCAAATCCTACTATTAACTATCCTGCTGATATATTTATTTTATTTAATATTTCGTTAACTATTAACTTTATTTTATTTTGTAAAAGAGCACAAAATACAAAAAGAATGGTAGCTGTATATATTAGAGTTGTTTGAAGATGACAGGAATAATATTGCCGAATTCTACTAAAACTGTACTGACGGCCCAGAAATTATAAAATGCGAGGTAGAACACGCTATAAATAATGCTAAAATTAGAAACGCTTGTGGTCCAGATGATACACCAACTGAGTTGCTGAAACTAATAGAGAATGATAACATAAAAGTAGTGCTAAGATTTTTTAATTCAATATATAACACCGGAGTGATTCCCGCAGATTGGAGTATCGATTAATTAGCCTAATGAGCCACACTCTTAAAATTTTCCTCAGAATCCTTCACAACAGAATTAGACGCAAATACGAAGAAGATCTTGAAGATACCAAATTTGGTTTTAGAAATGCTATGGAAATGCTAGAAATGTCGAAATAGATTTCAAGGATATTCGTGTCATTAAAAATTTGTACTGGAATCAAACTGCTATCGTAAAAATTGGAGATACGTACGCCGATGAAATCCCTATTCAACGAGGAGTCAGACAAGGTTGCATTTTGTCGCCAACATTGTTCAATATTTACTCGGATCAGTTATTTAAAAAGACACTTGAGAGACAACCATATGGAATAAAAATCAACGGGGAACTACTTAATATGATTAGATATGCAGACGATACGTAAGGGGAAGTCGATATAAAATATTACAACTAATCCTTAAAGGCAAAATAGAGGGCCGTAGAGGTGTAGGAAGAAAACAAGTTCCTTGGTTAAAAAATATTCGTGAATGGACTCAGATACCAAATGCAGGATATTTAATCCATATTGCAGAAGATCGGGAAGCCTTCGCAATGGTGATCGCCAACGTCGGATAATTCTGATATGACACGCGAAGAAGAAGATTAACTTTATTAAATGCATTTTATACCAAAATTCAGAAGTATTGATGTTTTTTCTAATTTTCTTTCGTTGCCTGGAGTAATTGCGTTAAATCAGAATTATGTAGTTGATTTGTAAAATGCAATTATCTCGAAAACTGTTGAGTTTTGAAGTTATTAACAAGTAGGTATACCTTTTTTTGTTAAAATATGTATCTTTAATATTTTTTATCACAAATACCGATAACTTAGGGAGGAAAAAAGTTAAGTGCAAATGTATGCCACATAAGTGGCATATGTAGCGCCCTCTATCAGCTACATTAAAGTACGCATCAAATTATAATTTCTGATATTCAATAGTACCTAGTTATGAATTTTTATACCTAAATGTTCACAAACATGAAAGTTATAGCGAAAATAAAAATTTTAAATTTCCATTTGATCACCCTGTATCTTTCTTAATATCAACATTTTCTATCGTAAAATAGTGTGTGTATACTATCATGCTTTTACTATTGTGTAATCTACTACCCTCCGTTTTGGTAAACTTACTTACTAACTTATGGGATATGAATTTTAAGACAACTTTGACTTCAAATTCCCACTTGATTTTAAGACCTGGTTGGATGACTATGACATCAAAAAAAAATGGTACACTTTTATTGATAAATGTCAAACTTATTCAATAAATAAGTTGAAAGTGTTCTACTAACTTAACATGCAAAAGTCTTTATCGCTTTTTTAAACAGTTGCGCAAGCTTAAAATTGTTTACTCGTTCAAATGTGAAAAACTCGGCAACGATTTATATGCCTATATTTATCCTTTTATAGTTGAATTCAATATGAACGGAATTGGACTGGTTTAATTTGATTCTAGATCACGTTATCTAGTTGTTAATTTGAGTAACTTGTGTACAGCTTATTAAAACTAGGATTTATTTGAATTTAACTAAGTTGTGTAGTTACAGAAGTCAAACACGTTAGACGTGCAAGAACCATACATCATACTTACTCCAAGTCTCTGGAAAACAAAATATGTTTACTCCTCCTCTTGCAGCTATTCTAATAGCTTTGTTCGCAAATTTAAAGAGAGCATATTTCATTTCTTGTATAGGTGTCGAAGTTGGGAAAGGAACCAACTTGTGTTGGAACAGTCCGATTCTAACAACTTTGGGACTTCTGAGTTGTTCATCTCTGCAATTGAAGCCACAAGTAACTAGTTCGATGTTGTATTTTGATGCTAATTCTCGGGATTCTTCTGATACTTCAATGTCACTTAAACATAAAAAATGTTTTAACATATTTTCCGACTATTTTATCTGTTTACATCATTCAATAATCATAGTTCTTAAAGTTAATACTACTATGCAGGGTGAAATGTTGAAATTATAATGTGTGGAAACTACTTATGGAATAAACTTGTATGTTTCCCTATTTTAAAAATTATAAAAAATGCTGGGAAACGTCAACTTTTAAAATCAAATGTTAGCTCTTTAAACATAAATTGAATATGTCATCTTTATTTTTAATGAAACATCGTGTATTTTAAGTTTTTAGAACCTACTTAATAACCTATCAATTTGAAAGGTTATTAAAAGGTTATTAAAAAGTATATTATGTATAGATTATCTAGAGTATAGTATGAATAATTTAAGGTGAAATTTTAAAACTATGGTACGTGTTCCCAGAGTTACATTGTTTGTTCTTAGATAAATGACTAAGTCATCTGCATATAGGCTAGTAAATACAGGTAGTTTTATTTGATGTATAATACTATTTATTGCAACTAGAAAGACAGTAGGACTTAGAGTAGATCCTTGTGGAGTGCCGTTTTGAAGTACTCGTCTGGAAGATGTAAATCCATTGGTTCTAACTCGAAAAGTTCGTGTTTCTAGAAAATTTTTAATAAAGGACAACATGTGCCCTTGAACATCCCATTCTTGAAGTGTTTTCAGTATAAGATGTCTCCATGTTGTGTCAAACGCTTTTCTTATGTCAAAAAATACGGCAATAAGTTTTTGGTTGTGCAGAAAGGATTCATGTATACTTGATTCAAGTGTTAATGATAATTAAGGATTTTTTCTAAAAGTTTGCAGGTACAACACGTAAGTGATATGGGACGATAGGAATTTGGATCGTCTTTTGGTTTATTATATTTCATCATCATCAATGGTGCCACAGCCCTATGAAAGAGCCTCGACCTTCCCAAGTCTATTACGCCAGACAGTCTTATCCATTGCCAACCGTTGCCAGTTTGCTGCGCATATCTTTCTACCATCCTCATCTACACCATCCTTCCATCTGAGTTTTGGCCTACCCCTTTTTCTACTTCCCACGGGTTGTGACATAAGGATTCTTCTAGGAGGGTTGTTCTGCTGTGATCTTGCTAGATGTCCTGCCCATCTTAGTCTTCCTATTCTTATAAGAGATACTACGTCTGTACCACCAAATATTTGTTTATATCTAGGGTATACCTCGTAGTTGTATCTCCTCCATACACCATTTTCACAGATGCCACCAAATATTCCTCTCAGGATCCTTCGTTCAAATTATTATTATATTTAAGGATTGGAATTATAGTTGCTTGCGACCATAGATCAGGAAAGACATGGTAAATAAAAATATTATTAAAAATATCAACTAATATTAGCTTTGCATTCAGAGGAAGATTTCGTAAGAAAAGAGGGTGGATATCATCAGGACCTTGACTAGAATTTTTAGCACTTAAACAAAATTGTAATTCTTGAAGACTTACTGGATTGTTTATTGGATTGCCGCTTTCTGTGATTTGTATATTTGAAGACTCCGTTAGTTTTTTGTGCTCTAGAAAGGATAGGCTATAATTGGAATCTCCAGAATTAAGTTCGTATATATCTGCTAGTATTTCCGGAATATCTTCTTTGTTTGAATGCGTTTGGTTATTGTATGATAGATTATCTATACCTCAAAAGTATTTTGTCCCTTTTATTCTACGGACTTTGTTCCATATGTTGCCTAAGGGAGTGGAAGGATTTATCGAAGAAACGTACTTTTTCCAACTTTCTCGTTTTGCTTTTTTAATTAATTGTCTGCTTTGAGCTCTGAGATTTTTAAACCTTAAAAGGCTTTCGAAGTTTTATGTTTCTTGTAAACGTTAAAAGCGTGTTTAGACAAAGTGAGTGCTTGTGCAATTTCGTTATTCCACCAAGGAACTGGCTGCCTTTAACTCGATTTTGAATTTCCCACTGCGATTGTTGCTACAGAAATAATAATGTTATTAAATATTTCAAGATTTTGGTTTGCGTTATTGGTTAAATTAGATTTGTTTGTTTGTTCTTCTATCAGTGTTTGATATAAATTCCAATCAGCTGACTTTATTTTCCATGTCTGGTGAATTGGAAAAGTTGATTTATCATTAGTGTTTATGGTTATCGTGATAGGGAAATGATCAATATCATATAAATACCCCAATGTGTCCCAGTACAATAAAGGAGCTAGCGACGGACTGCATAAAGAGAGATCTATGGCAGAAAATGTACCATTGTATGAATTGAACCTAGTAGTTTTGCCAGTGTTTAGTAAAACTAAATTTAAATTATCAATGAGATTATTTAGGAGATTGCCACATTTGTCGGTTTTGCTACTTCCCTAAGTACTGTTGTGACAGTTAAAATCGCCTAATATTATTTTTGGGTGTGGAATTTGGTTTAAAACATTGCCTAGTTCAGTTATGTCTAAATCAGTAGGATGAGTTAAGTATACATTGCAAATATTGATTTTCATTTTGTGGGTGACTGACACTGCAACTATTTCGAGATTTGTTTGCAGTTGTATTTCAGTTGACTCTATGTAATCCCTTACGAAAATTGCTGTTCCACCGCTTGAGTGATCTGCAACTCGGTTTCTTAGAAAAGGAATTTAATTTTTTATTGTCACATTTTGGGGCTTGAAATGGGTCTCTTCTAGGTATATCACTAAAGAAAGGTATTCGTGTATAAGAAGCTTAATGGATTCTATATTTGTAAAATAACCGTTGGGGTTCCACTGTAATATGAATGTGCTGGACATTAACTCTATATGTGTTAACTATTTATTGTTGGGAACTTGATTCGTAGTCAGTTTCGTCAGTAGAAGAAGGATTGTTGAGAAGCAGTTTCTTCTTCAATCTGGTGATATTGTTTTTTAAAGTTTTATTTTGTATTTGAGAATATATAAAGTTTAAAATTTCTTTTATTTGTTGGCTTTCATTTGAGTAATTTTTAACAATATGTTCAGGATGTTTTGAGTGAAGGGAATTTGCCAGAAAATCACATATTTCATGAAAAGTTAGTGTAAAGGAAGGGTTTCTATTTTTAATTTTTTCTTTAATTTGATTTAGAATAATTAGAATATTTTCTTGGGTTTTAGGCTTTTTCTTAGGTTTTTGAGTATCGGGAGGAGGTAGGTCATATTCAAGGATTTCAGGAGAGGAGATTTGTCTTTTAGTAGCAGGAGTAATTTCAGTGGTTTTTTTATCGCTTTCAATTACTAAGGAATTATCTTGGAATATTTTTGGTTGATCAAAATTTGTAATTCATTGTTTGTTTGTGAGGAAGTGGTTTGGTCCTTTGTAGCTGATGCGTGATTTTGTATGGTATTGGGTTCTGGTTCCATTAATGTTTCGGTATCTTCTTGGTATTGGTTTCGTGGTTGATCTTGTAGCTGATTATATTGTTCATTGGTAGAGTTATGTATATTCACGTGATGGTCATTTTTCATTTGATTAATTGATTTGCTTGATGATGATAAGGAAGGACAGTCAGAATCGTGATGTCCGACAATCTTGCATTTGGAGCAGTTTAAACCATCTATGGAAATGTATAGTCAATATGATGTATTGTCGAATGAGATTAGAAATGAGACTTATGAGCATTTGCCTCCTAAAGCTGAGCACGTGGCTGTATTTTGGGTCTTGCATGTCTACTCGTAGAAACGTCATGTTGGAGGCGGATTTTATACTCATCTTTTTAAGTGCTCTTCAATTATGCTATTAAGTATAGTAGGGCATACATTAGATATGATGAGTCTCTTGGCAGAGGTTATAAGTCTTCTGACTTCAATCTGGTTACCATCAATATTAATATATTTGTGGGAGCTAAGAAATTGATCAACTACATATTTAGAGGAGAGGTAGATGCAGATGCGGCTGTTTGCTATTGTGGATGCCCAAACAACATTTTTGGGCTGTATTATTGAGCCAACAGTTTTTACATATTCGAAAACTTTTATTCCTTGTATGGTTGAAAGTATAATACCTTGGTCTTTTGAAGGATATTTGAAACTGTTTAATGCATCGGAATAAGATATATGTGATGTAGTGGGTATATTTCGTGAAGTAGTAGCTGATTACGGTTCATACATCTTTCCGCTGAGAATTTTCGTACATTGGCACAGAGGATCTGAAGCCGGACCTGGCCACTTGATAAAATTGAACAGCAACATAGCCTAATTACTTGTTAGAAGCAAGAACCAGCAAAAAGTTGTTGTCGATAATCGATAAGTTGATTTGAAATCGATCAAATATTTTGCCTTTTAAACTTCTGATTTTAAGGTTATTAATAATGCAGTTTTGTACTCACAGAAGTCTACGATTTTCAGTGCACTGTCACATTTAACTTTAAGTTGCAAACAGTATAAAAATTAAATTATATTTTTAATTTTAACTCACTACAACTGTTATTATTAAAGAAACGGTTCTTTTCAGAACCACAAATTATTATTAATGTTTGTTTTTCTATAATCTTAACAATTAAAATATATTTCATTTAGTTTAAAACTCATTTGAAGACATTCATTTGGGGTATAGAAGGCAAAACAATATATTTTACAATCCTTTTTTTTTGTTGTCGTAATTATTGTAAATTTTGTATATTATTTGCTTTACTATTTGAGTTTTGGCTAGTCAGTGTTAATTGTCAAAAGACCGACTCTGTCTACCTCCGGACCGGTCTTAACAATGGGCCAAGTCAGATAAATGTAATAATATTTACGACCGCACTAACTAAAGTCAACCGTTTTCTGCCAAACAAACTTTACCGTAATTTCTTAGTTATTTGTTAAGAAACTCTTCTACTGAATAATATGGTCTTTCAAATAGATAGGCTTTTGTCATTTTGAGAAACTTGGGGAAATATGTTATAGATTCAAGTTTTAAAGGGAGAAGATTGTATAATGTTTTTGTCGAATATAATATAGGTTTCTTTACTACTATCTCAATGGACGGGATCGTAAATAAACATCAAAGGTTGAATTTTTGGTGAGGTAGTCATGATTAGGTCTTGCTGGAAAAACATGTAGGTTTTTACGAATTAACAGTTTCTAAAATATATAAAGACAGAAGCGTTAATACCTCGTGATTTTTAAAGTAGCTTCTGCAATGTGTTGTTTCTAACTGAGGTGAAACAGACACCGTATTGATCTTTCTGTAATTTAAAAATAACATCAAATTGGGCAGCTGTACTAGAATCCCAAAAAGAAGACCATATTGAAGAGGAGACTCGAACAAAGAAAAATGTTAGTATGAGACTAAATTGATTTCCTTTGAAACATATGATTGCATAGTAGGCTGAGGCTAGTTTCTTACTTAACAAATCGATATGAAGGAGCCATTTGAGGTTGCTGTCTATAAAAATACCAAGAAATGTTATAGAATCAACGATACTGATCTGGCTATTAGTCAGAAGGAAGGATTGAATAGCTCCTTTATATGATAATGGCCACTGTCTCATCCTCCTTAAAAGAGAGTAAATTAGATTTGTACCAGGTTTTTATTTTAAGTATACCAAAAGTTATAGTTGCATGAATAGTTGCAATTTTAGAGTTTCTCCAAGTGATATTGATATCATCAGCAAAAAGAAAAATTTTTCTATCGATTTTTAAATTAGTGATGTTATTTATAAAGATAAAGAAAAGTAGAGGACCTAATACTGAACCTGATGGTACTCCACATACAATGCTTTTGTGGTTAGAGTCAGTATCATTTGCTAAAACTAGTTGTTTTCTATTCCCCAAGTAATATTGGAACCAATTCAAAGAAATACCTCTAATTCTGTAGATATTTAGTTTTTTTATTAAATTGTCGTGATTTACACAATCAAAAGCTTTTTCATAGACACAAAATACAGTCGCAGTATAATGATAATTGTTTAGTTAAGAAGTAAAATGCCACAAGTAAGTATCTTCAGAAACTAGAAACTCTATACAAATACACTCAAAAGAACAGTATTAAAAATATTTCTATATTTCTGTATGCCTAACAGATTTAAATAGTTAGCGGCTAAAAAGATTTTAAGAAATGAGCATACTTACTGTGTTTCACTTCCGTATAGAATTTTCTTGACCCTATCATAATCTTCTTTTGGCAGTTGTTTCAAAGCGCTATCGACACTTTCAAATTCCTTTATTTCGGACATTCTGCAACTTTTTTCCGAGGGGAAATGTCTAATTAGAATATAAATGAAACCGATTAGATAAGATGATTAGATGTTACCCGATAGCTACATACTGTGTAAAAATAACCCTTGGACTGCAGAGTTAACAATGTGCATATTGGCAAGCATATTGATTCAGTAACATTTCTTGCATTCTTGCCAAGCTTGCAAGAAGGTCATCTCAGTATAAGAAAAATTTTACACACGGTGTTTTGAATGAGGATGTTTGTTTTTTATAATTTAAAATTATACAAGGTTTCCTTAATTGAGCGAATTAAATCTAAATAAGTTTCGTTCAATAAATAGGAATATAAAATAGCGATTTTTTATTCAAAATACTGAATACAATAGAAACTTAGAAGTATGGTTTAAAATTTATAAAATATTGAAGAAAAATTGACAGCAAGTTAAAACGTTTTATAGATAGGATCTTCTATTTCCAACTGGCGTTTTGTCTAATTTTAATATTATATAATTAATCATTAAAACAATTGTTGCAATTTTTTAAAAAATTTCTAATTTGTATTAGCAACCATTTAATGCATAATATATACCGTAGTACGAGTCAAATCAGAGAAATCACCACCAAATTATAAAAATAAGTGATTTCAGCACTAGTAGTGTGGCAACTTAAATTGCCGAGTTGAAGACACCTCTAGGAAGATTCTCCCTCTTTCTTTTTGACCCTCGACCAGAACGGTTCTATTCTTCTCCCTATTCTTCTATTCTAATGTAAAGAATTTGACCATAAAGAAAAAGCGGGTCATACTTGAGACTTTATGAATATCATTTAGACATTTATTTTACAATCTGTGATTTTTCTCTTGCGGATATTGTAATTATCTTTAATATTGTTATTTGGAATTCGTATTTTAAAATACATTTTACATCTAAAAAAAAAGTAATTTTACATATTCGCTAACATTTACATATCTTGCAACTTCTATTAAGTTTTTTTTGTTATTTTTAATGTGTCGCCATTATAACTACGAAAAATATGTTCCAGTTCACTACATACTACATATATCCAAATTAACTTTTTTTAAAGACCTATCAAAACTAATGTATTCAAGTTCTATTAAAATGGGCATTAGTGTATATTATTATCTATAGAAAAATTTATTATTATCTATAGAAACATTTGTTCTGTTGTTAAAGTGTGTCTAAAACCAAAATACTTACATGGTTTTTAATACATTTCTTCTTTTGCGTCTATTTTCAGGCGATGTTTTAGCGCTTGGGGATTTTATTAAATGAAAAGAAGGTATGGCATCATTTCTTAACTTCCACTATTTGTCAGGCTATCCCAATAGTTTTTCTTTTAAACAATAATCAACTTCTGTATATAAAATGTTTTGAGTATATTCTCCCGGTTTCTACATTAAATTTGTCTCGCTGAAAACACTTGGAGACCCATACTTTACGCATTTGTTTGTCTCTAGGAAACACAAAAAAAGGACACGTCGAAAAATGTTTACTTTTTTTATTATTATTTTTTAAACAACCCAACACTGCATAATACATTATGGCAAACAAACAATTAGTCTTCTTTATAAACTAGCTACAGGTAGTCGAGAGGAAGTTGCGTACGATAAACAAATTATGTGATATTAAAACAGTAAACTGAATGTTTTCACCACAAAATGTATATAACAATATAATATACAAAGTCTTTACTACATCAATGAATAATAGCCCAGGGAAATAAGCATTTTTTCATGACACTCGTCCGGCCAGGCAAACGACAGTTGTTTTGAGTAGTACGGACCTATGTAACAAAAACCTATATGTTTCCTGCAGTCGATTTTTTGGACTTAATTAGTTATTAACAAATTAAGGTCAAAAAACGGAAAATTTTTGCTTTTTTCGTCTATCAGCAAAAAGTGAAGCAATTTAAACAAATTTTAGAAGAGAGGAAACTTATAAGTTATATAAAAACCTTCAAAATGGTGTTTTCAAAATGTTTCTATCCTTATTTGTTGCTTAGAAAGTTGCAAAATAAGTCAAAAATTTTAGTTTTTTATAAATGTTAATAACTTTTTTGAAAATAAACTTATAATATTTATATTTCATGGAATGATGTATCTTGTAGTGTTTAAAATAGGGTTAAAATTTCAAAGTCATCGGTCCAATAGTTTAAAAGTTATTTTATTTGTTTATCCCAAATTAACATTTTTTGCAACAATATAAGTCAGAAATTTATAAAGTTTTAGAAATTGTAAGGGATGTTTCTGGTAGAAGAAGACTTGTTTTATTATTTATATTAAAAAAAATTAAGAAAATTAATTTTAAATATTGCAAAATAATTTTGCAAAAACATGTCGATTTTTTGCTTATAAACAATTAGAATATCTTTTTAACCATTGACTGTAAAAATATTATTTTTACATATTTAAAAAGCTTGATTTTTTTCACAAATTTAAATAAAAAAAAGATTGTCCTAAAATAATTTGGTACAAAGTTAGCCTCTTTTTTTATTTAATTCATAGCACCTTTGTTTATAACAATTAAGAAATATAATTAGTGCTATTTGAAAGAATATACATTATAGTTTTAAACAACTAAATTTTAAAATTATTGCCCTTTAATGGAATCATCCACAAAGCTTTAAAATGTATCTAAAATCCGTCGGCTTTGAAACTCTCGGGAGCTGAAGGGAAGGGGAAGGCGCTGTTAACTGTATCTCTGTTCCTTTTTTCTGTATTTCAACGTTTCTTTTTGAACTTGTATGTAATTTTTGCGTACATTACGACTATGCATTATTTCAATAAATAAATTGTCAAATAAACCACATAATTTGTTTAAAAACAATTTTTTTTATTTTTTTTTTTTTTTTAGTAGTATTTAAGTTAAGTTTGAATGTAAAACAGAAGTACTTGTTATTTTCTATATTTTGGGGAATAAGCCACAATTTAAGTTTATAATAAGTTTATTTTTGACGTTTTGATTTCTACTTCGGAAATCTTTCTCAGAATACAGAACATTAATAAATTAATCAAATTTTGTTTTTGGTTACTTGGTAGAAAATTTGGTTTTAAAATTTTTCTGATAACTCTTCTGGGTGATTGATTAAGGTGAGGAAGCTCAGTAGATCTGTTTTAGTAAAAATTACAAAAAAAAAGTTATTGATAAAACTTGTAGACAGCTTTAAACTCCATATTTTAAAATTAGTTACAATCTTACAGGGTGTTCTATAAGATTGTGGCAGACCAAACTTATGTTTTTTTTTAATGAAACACCCTGCATTTTATTTTTATTTGAAATCTGCTTCACTACATTTTATTTTCAAAAAAGTTATTAACATTTATAAAAAACCGAAATTTTTGACTTATTTTGCAACTTTCTAAGCAACAAATAAGGATAGAAACATTTTGAAAACGCCACTTTGAAGGTTTTTATATAAATTATAAGTTTCCTTTCTTCTAAAATTTGTTTAAATTGCTTCACTTTTTGCTGATAGCCGAAAAAAGCAAAAATTTTCCGTTTTTTGAACTTAATTTGTTAATAACTAATTTAGTCCAAAAAATCGACTGCAGGAAACATATAGGTTTTTATTACAGAGGTCCACACTACTCAAAACAACTGTCGTTTGTCTGGCCGAGCGAGTGTCAAAAACAGGGTACTTTTTTTGCTTATTTCCCTGGCCTATAAATAAAAAAAAAATCATTCACTACGTTTTTAAATACACAGGATAGCCAACTCGAATAACATAGCAACATAATTAACATGAACACTTATGAGCATTTAACTTGCCGTCATTAAAGTTGTCTCGGGCTTACGTCTCAAGAGCATGCGCGTTGACGTATCTTGTTTTATTATAGTATCATGAGCTATGGCGAACTAGGTCATTTAGTTCACGTGTAGGAGCCGGCTCTTTAAACTAGTTCGCTCATGAACTACACAAGCCTTCAATGAAATAACGAATTTGTTGCTACAATTGTGGTTTCTCCCAAATTATATGACTACAATAAACTATAAAGAAGGTAATAGTTTCATATTAATTTCCTGTGCATTATTAGACTATATTAATATGGACTTAAGTACAATAGTTAACAATATAAAATGACTTTAATTTGCGTATGATTTGTATTTTTTTAAATAATTTAGGTGTACATACTAAATTTACCTTCCTCAATAGTGTGATCAAATAAGTCAAGACCTTACAGGTGAAGTGGAATATTTCCCCTTGAATCCATATTGACTTTGTAGCGTTTTAAATTTGCATATTTAATATCTATATAATAGTATAAATTCTGTTTTAAGTTTTGTATTCAGTTGTTTCAAAATATAGATGTTTTTGTCTGTTACATTGTCAGATAGAAAATTATTCCGGTTAAAACTAGGAAACAAGGACGCTTGAATAATCAATAAATACGTGTTATTTTTACCCAATATAAAAGTAAATATTTCAAGATGTTTTTGTCGTTGAAAACGATTTGTTTACATGAGTCCCCTAATATTCCGGTTGAAAAAAAAGATGTTTTGTTGTCAGTTCGTAGGGACGAGGTCAAGAGGGATATTGTTTGTTTAGAGTTGTAGACGACAAACTAGCTGCGAGACGCGAGGGGAATTTATTTGGCGTTGGATTTGTAAAATGTAACGCAGAAAGGTCGAGCAGGAGATTTCAAACTGAGAAGACGTTTTGCGGACTTTGAATCAAGAGTCGATTCAATTTTCTTTGTGTGTAATGTTTTAAGACCGTTCAAAGTGATAATACTCTTTGCAATTAATCGCAGTTTAGAACAGAGTAATCACCATAAGATTTGTACAGATACCGGAAACTGATAAAACTGGTATATAGGGTGTCCCCGTCGCCTGCTTGCTCCTCCACCAAACCTTATTTGCGTCCTGGATAGTCGTTCCTGAATATGGAAATGGTTTCCTTGTTCCTGTTGGAGAAGATGTTCAGGTATCCCATAGATGTTTAGCGATTTTTTTTTAGAACTTAAGTGCAAAAGTTTGTGAATTAAGGTAACAATCAAACATTTTATTTTTATTGCTTTCATTTAAAAATTTGAAATTTTGTAATAATTAAAATTATATATGTATTATGTTAGGGGCGCAGCTAAAAAAAATGTCATAATTTATTCTGTCTTAAAATGTTGTGTTGACATATGACATTTTGGCTCTAATCTGTTGTAAAACAATTTTAATTTGATTATTATATAAAAAAGATATTTCATATACAAGGTTAAATTTTAAGATATTTTCTTTTACAAGGATATCCTTAATTTAACATTCTAATTTGGCCATATTAATAAATAATTTAGGAACCATTTCGAAAATTTTTGTAGCAATCTCCTTTGTAAACTGATACACTGGTAAGTTTTTGTTAATTTTGTATTGTTATATAGTATGCATTTTGTGCAATCTGTATTTTTGATAACAGTTTGTTTGAGACGAAAATAAACGTTTAATTTGTTTCTCTGATCCATTTTTTTTTTAATTTAGAAAAGTCTCCTAACCCGTGTATGTATTCTTGATTTTAGGGAAGAAGAAATTTTCTTTCCTCCAGTAGGAAGTTTTTGTCGAAGCGGCGTCTCAATAAAGAAAATAGCTAGAGGTAATTCTTATCTGCCATATCTTGTTTGTTTTTGTTCCAGATTTATGTAAGTATCCCTTTGATTTCATTTTATAGATATACCAGTCCGACCCATTTATTTCAACTTATCCACTACCCAGCTCTCCAACAACCCCCTGAGTGTCGTACGCACCATTTTCGATTTCACCAGTTTCGCACCATTTTGTTTGCCCATCTCTACCTCCAGTAGTTTCTGTCCCCAATCTTCTACCCCTATGTTCTTACCCTGAGATAGGCAAAATATATCGTTACAACTTAAAGACGAAAAGTATAATATTAAAATGCTATATTCTGTCTATTATGAAACACAAAGGAAGTTGTGAAAAATAAAATACCATCAGTTTTATTTACATACAAATTTTAATTTTAATTCATAGATAAACTTCTAGTGTTGAATATAATTTGATTTGACATTATAAAAATGCTAAAAATAAACAAAATAAAAAAAATGTATGATTTCGTTTTAAGATTCAAAAAGATCATTAGTATACGATAAAAAATAATCAATTCTCTTTATATGAGTTTTAATTTTATCGGGCTGTTCCAGCTTAACGGAAGGAAAATGGTGATTGGGAAATAGTTTGGAAAATCCATCCGAAGTTTTTGCTTCATTAGTCTCTTTAAGAGAACTATTTAACAGGTGGTTAATATCCGATAAAGCACATAATATATAAAACTTTGGTTCTGATTTCTTTGGTCCTTTAAGTATCCTTTCTATGTCCTGCCTCATTATCTCAATATTTTCAGAATCAGTCATTATCCAGTCACTCTAAAAAACGCAAATTTGTTGTAAAAGTATTAAACATTTATAAGGTTTTATAATAAACTTAAAACCCGCATTAATAACATTAAATAATAAACACATGGATATGATCTTTATTTGCTATGCTGATGACGGTATTATTTTAACCAAGAAAGACCATATTATATATAAACTCATATCCTAAAACGCATTGAAGAGTATTAACGTGTAGTGATTGTCTATCGCAAAATTGATGCAAATATTTGTTGGAAGCAGCGGGTCGGCGTGAGGCCATTTTAAAAATGTATTACTTATAGTTGAAAGTAAACGGTGTGAGAATTATACGGAATTAAGTTAACTGAAATTTACGAAATATAGTATTTTTAAAATTATATATTGATAATGTTTTTAGTTTTCAATGTTTTTAACAAAACAAGTTCTTCAGAAACGAAAATAACTTTAAAAATTATACGATCAAGCTGAATTTTGTTGAGTATATTAATTTTGCCAAACAACGCTTCAAGCGACCGTCGATTTTGAATGTCAGTTACACGCGCAAAATCAATGTTCAATAAAATTTGTAACAGCTCAACGGTAAAAATTTGATATCTGTTGATTTAAGTGTTCTATCGACAAAAATCAAGATGCGTTTTAAAGGTAAAGAGGAGTAAACTACATCAAAGAACGTTTTCGGAAATATTATTCCATCAACAGTGTTATCTGGATGTATATGTTTTGAGCCACTAAATACTTGGATAAAACCCTTTAAATGTTAAATTAAATTTAAGTTACATTATTTGATTTTATATACTAGAATGTTTAAGTTACAACAGGAATAGATAACTTGGCAACGTTGCCACTGAAAGTTGCTAGTCCTGAGACAAAGTGTCCACGAGGACTTAATGATAGCAACTATAAAGTATAAATAAAAATAAAAAGTTAAACCAGAAAAAAGAATAATAAACTCACGTTTATACACTCCTGTTCTACAGATTTCACAGCAGTTTCGAAGTCTTCAAACACTTGACCCACTTTCATAGTCAGAGAAATAGTTACAATACAACTCACAGCCTGATGAGGAAACTCAAAATGTTCTCCATTAAAATATCTTGTGGTGAAAGCATACGCAGTAAGAATATTTATTAAATTATATTTGACACATTCAGCAGGTGCTTTTGACTGAAACAGAAACGTCAGTTAGTGTTTTATATTACTAAATATTTAAAAAACAAAATTTAATTTACCAATAAAAGGCAAAATCCCAGTTGTTAGCTGTATGCCATAGTAAAAAAAACTAGCAGTGAATGTTTAAAAATTATTTTTATAAAAAATTGAAATTATTCAAACGAATTAAAATTTCAGAATGTTTTCAGTCTTATCAGACTATCATCAATGAAACCATAGTAATTAAAACTAGCTACTTAGTAAGGTGTAAAGACCTTTAAATTACAAATTAAATATATTTCTTCTTCTTCTTGTAGTGTCTATCCGTTTTGGATCTTGGCGACCATCTTGGCAATCTGTATTTTGCAAACTGCTGCTCTGAAAAGATTTGTGGTTGTTGTGTTGAACCACGTACGTAGATTTTTCAGCCAGGCAATCCTTCGCCTTTCTGGTCCCCGTTTTTCTTATACTTTTCCCTGTAGAATTAATTGCAGCAAACCATATCTTTCGCTGTTCCTATTAAAACTGCATCCATTAATCTTTCAAATGTGACAGGGGCATTACATAAGCCAAATGGCATAACTCTGAACTGACAAAGCCCTGATCCTAGCGAAAATTAGGTTTTGTCCCGATCAACTGGCTCCATGTCTACTTGCCAATATACACTTTTTAGAGTGTTGATGACGACGATATCGAACTATTTTACCATGATTTGGAACAAGTCTTAAAATCAATGAAGAAACATCACACTACAATAGTAATGGGCGACTTAAATGCCAAAGTTGGCCAGGGAAGAGTGGATGGATATGTGGGGAACTATGGTCTAGGAAATAGAAATTAACGTGGTGACCGTTTGACACAATTTTTCCACACGGAAGAATTTGTAATTTTAAGCTACCAAAAATAAGATTGTATACATGGAAATTTCCCGGTGATACAACGAATAGAATAATTCGAAATCAAATTGACTTTGTTCTTATTAGACAAAGATTTCGTAATTCTATACTGTCTGCCAAAACTTACCCTGGAGCAGACATCGGTTCAGACCATAACCCCATAGTAGTTATATTACGAACCAAATTAAAACTGGTTAAAAAACCCACACAAAGTAGAATTGATATTAAGAGATTAAGGGAACCACAAACAAAGGAACAAACTGTAAAAACTCTTACTGAAAATCTACGTAATGCCCAAGAACTGAATAAAAGTAGCTATAACATTGATCCGAAATGCGAAAATATAAAAGTAGCAATAATTAAAACAGCAAATGAAAACTTAAAACCAAAGAATAGAAAACATAAAGACTGGATGACTGAAAAAATACTACTATTAATGAATGAAAGAAAAACATTCAAAACAAAAAATCCAATTAAATATAATGAAACTAATCGATTAATTAAAAAGAGAATAAAAGAAGCTAAGGAGAAAATGTTACATGAGCAGTGCCAAGAACTAGAAGAAATTAAGAAAAAATATGACTTTTTAAACATGCATAAAAGAATTAGAGAATTAACAGGAATGAAACAAACACTTCAAACTAGGCAACTAAGAGATGAAAGTGGTGCACTTATAACAGATATAAACCAAAAAATGCAGAGATGGATTGCACAACTCTGCATTTATATATATATATATATATATATATATATATATATATATATATATATATATATATATATATACAGTGTAGGTAAAAGTTTATGGTCGGTATGTACCTGACGTGAGATTGAGTGAGAAACTCACTTTAAAAAGAGAGAGGTATATTAGGTCCGCCCTTTATATCGTCGAAATAGCATTAGTGGAACTAAGAAAAGAGGAGAAGTTCAAAGTTGCCAAACTTATTGGTTTTATTTGACCTGTTGTCTTTTTAGCATTTTAACAACGTTCTAAGATAACCAAAATTTTTGCGAATTGATTTAAATGGCAGCTTACTGTTGTTTTATTTTAAATATGCCACAGTTTTCCTTTACAATAAGTTTAATTTAACATTTTGATTTGCACTTTGGAAATCGTTTTATGTAAATAAAATTTATTAATGTTTCGTATTTTAAGTACAATTTCAGAATTAGAAATCTAAACATCAAAATAAGCTTATTTTAAAGTCACATTGTGCCTTATTAGCAATAAAAATAATAAATTGCAATATGACACCACAATACAAAACCTTCTTACATAATTATTTGGCAACGTCGAGCTTTTAACGTAAGGACTGCGAACTACCCCGAACTAGTGTTCGTAGTTCTCTGACTGTAGTAACGAGAAAAACAGTAGAGGTGAGTCTTTGACGTTTTTATCGTTACTGAACTGCTTTTCGTAAACAAGTAACAAGTTGAAAAACTAATTAAAATATTTAATCGAGTACATAAACAAACATGCTTTCTTGAATCAAAAAAAATATATACTGAAATACTTTCAACGGCTTTTCAAATTTGCTGTAGTTAATTTATAACTAAGTTTTTCTTTGCAAAATTTGCATACAGCCTTCTCACTGTTAATGTCTTTCTCAAAGTGGTGCCATAAAAAACTAACATCTTTACGCGAAGACATGTTAAAAACACAATTAGTTAATAAAGTAAATATTTAGTACTCACAGAATAAATTCACATTTACGTTAAACAAAACACTCTCACACAACTCCAAATAAAAATTTGGTTTTCTGAATAATATAAAACGTAAATCGGGGACTCCCATGTGTTAATATTTCAAATCCAAAATAATCGATCATTGTAAAATTCAGAAAGTCGACGATAAAAGCTGCATCTTCTACAAATGTGCGTTTTTTGAAAATACAATTATTACGCTTGTACGAGGTAAATGCTTTTAACTAAGAAAAAGACTTCCTAATTGAATATTTACAATAAATAAATCCTTTAACGAACTATCAATAAAGATTTCAACTTCAGACGCCATCAACTACACTACCCAACAATTGAAGTGGATAATCTTGTAGCGTTTTTTATTTAAAGTGTATGGAAAAGATTTCTGTGTTACGCTCCTGTTGTTTTTACCAAAGAAAACAATGGAAATAATATTTCAAGTTTTTTTGACGAGATTTTTAAATGCGTATTAACGCTGGAAATGTGTTTTTATCTCTGTGTTGCAATTTTAGGTGAAACGACAAGTTTTTGTCGCTAAGGAGGTATCATGTTACATGATGCCCCTCTAGTATAAAAAAGAGGTTTTATTTGTTTTCTTCGTTAAAAACGCAATAAACATGAATTCCCCTAATATTAAAGTTGTTTTTCGTTATTAGACGAGGGTCAAAAAAAAAGAATATTTGTTTGTTTAGGCAATAAAGGAACATTTAAAATTTGTTTTTTTTTTTGTCGATAAGAGGAGGGAATATTTGTTTTGGTTTTAAGTGGGTCGGCGACAGGCTGCAAGACGGAAGGGGAATTTTTGTCTGATTCTGGTAAAATGTAACGAAGCAAGAGAGTCGACTTAGAGATTTCAAACAGGGCAGACATGTGACAATAGAGTCGACGAGATTGAAAAGAGCAACGAGGTAGGCAGGTGATGTAAGGCAGCTCGAGTTGAAAGGACTTGGGCATTTTTCATAAACAGCCGGTAATTTTGTGTAATGGGTTAATTAATCAGACCTGTAAACAGTGGACTCTCCGTAAACATGACGGATTAGCATAGAGAAACCACTAAAAGGATTTATGCAGTATACCAGAACATGGTAAAATTTTAAAGCAGTACATAGGGTGTGCCACCAGCTTCGTGTGTCATCTGTTTGCCCCAACCTCGTTCCTGAGTATAGAAATGTTTCCTATGTTCCAGTTAGAGGATTTGTACAAGTAGCTTCCAGTCAGAGATGTAACAAGTTTTTTTTTTTAAGTTGAGTGACGAAATATGTAAATTTTAAGGTAACAATTCAATATATTAATTTTTCAAAGTAAAGACAGATATTTTTTGGCTAAAGTAATAATTGCTTTCATAACAAATAAAAAATTGTAATATGTATGGTTATGCTGTTAATACTTTTGTTCTTTGCCATCAAAATTAAATGTGATACCTGACAGCAAGCTTAATTTGTTTTTTTGTTATGACAATTTTCATTTGATTATTATGTAGAAACGATATTTCATATATAAGGTTAAATTTATATGTTTTCATTAACAAGGATCCTTAATTTTTGATAATCTAATTGGCCATAATATAGTAAACAAAGAACATGTAAGTTTTTGATATTTGTATTATGTTATATGATATGTTTCTTTTATAATATGTATTTTTGATCTGTTTTGTTTGAGACAAGAATAAATGTTTAATTTGTTTCTCTGATCTATTTTGAGTTTTATTTGAAAAAGATATTTTTTTTCTATATTTTTGATGTTCTATAATTATTTCCCTAGTTACAACTAGTGGTTGTAATAGGTATAATTAGGCACCTCAAGTGGCGCCCTATATTAAATTTCTTTTTATATTTACCTATTATATTCTTTTACCTATTTTATAGAGGTGTTTCTGTTTATTTTCATTCTGTTTATCCCAAGAGATTTGTATAAGTACCCTTTTATTTCTTTTTTTGTTGTAGTTGCCCCAATCTAACCCCCAATATCTTCAACTTATCCACGACCCAGCTCTCCAACAACCAACTGAGTGCCGTATGCACTTGTTCCGATTATTTTGTTTGCCCAATCTTGTCCCCCATATTCTTACCCTGTGGTAAGTAAAATAGTCGTTACAATCTTAAAATTCCTAAAATTAACATATAAAACTATTTTTAAAATAATTGCCTGTACTATACTCTATATGCTACCTTTAATTCCAATATTTTTTGCATGTGGTTTTTTTCTCCCTATTCTTATCGGCCCTTATCTCGTACAAAGAGAGAAATGTTGTTCCAAACGTGAATATATCCTTCGTATAACAGTGCTTTTATTGGCTTTACCAGTTGTCAATAAGTCAAGAAATCTATTTATTACAAAAACATTATGCCGCAAAGACGTTTAGAACTAGTGCAGCTCGAGCAATTAGTTCGTTGGATCCAACAAGGCCTAACTCAACAA